CTTAAATGTTTCTTTTTGCATTATTACCAACGTGTTCCCCATCCTTTTCCTTCATGTATGCTAATACTCGTTTCTTTTGGTTCCCTTCCTAGCCATTACTGAGCTTACATGCAGCACACGGGGCTTTTCTTTAATAACTCTGCTCTTGCAGGAACTTGTTTCGTGCCTGAACCAAAACTCCTTACACAGCAGCTGATGGCTGGAGAAAGTAGAGTCACAAGATTATGAACATATAAACCCCAGTTGTTATCCCTGCATGCAAAGGGGGATTAGGAGTTGCATTAGCAGTTGTAGGAATGGCTGTGGAGTACTTATTTTCTCCCTCCAAACAGAATTAATTCCTACCTTAGCACAAAACTTTTGGATGGATGAGACTAATTTTGTGTTGCAGTCGGGTCTATCTGATCCAGTTTACAGAAGGGTTGTTTCTCTGCCTGTGTGTATTTCTTCTCCAGCTTCCTACCATAGAGCTGGAGGCTAATTGTATGATTCAGTTGCCCTGGATGTTGTATTTGCATCAGTCAGTTTAAAGGACAGCTGTATGAGGAACTTGCTCAGGGACGTATGTGATGGCCTTTCATTCCGCAGACACCACAGCTCGGTGTCTTGGGTGGCTCATGCCTTTCTGTGTTGAGCTTCAGCCTCTCTTGCCTGCCAACATGAGTTGCTCCAGAGCACGTTTCCTCTGCCGCCTTCACTGCTGGCACATCTGGCATTCCCTGAACTTATGTTGCTGATCAGGAGCAGCCTCTGTTGTGTTTCTCATTGAACTAACTGCTGCTTTGCTCAAGCAAGTTACCATTTAAAGCAGCTGTTTCTCTTCTGTCTCCAGCCATTTCTTCCCCATCCCTAGCCAATTTTTATGAATTCTTCCATGAACTCTTACTTGAATATTGTGGGCCCCTGGGTTTTCTAACCCAACCTCCGGTAAATTTTGCTTCAGTGACAAGGCAGGAGGGGGTTTGATGCTGGTCTTGTCCAATAGGTTTTTTAGGATTCCTCTTCAGCAGACTGCAGCTTAAGAAGAGATCTTCCTTGTCTCATATTTTTCAAGATTTCTCTTCCTCTTTGTCACGTCTCTCCCATACTGTCATTGCAGCCGAAGGAGCATGCTCACTGTGTGTTTCGTGAGCATGCTTCTTTGTGTTTAACTTCCTCTACTTGTTTCACCTAGTTGCATTATTCTTCCTAAATCCTCCCCTAATTTAATAATGATCCCACATGTTTCTTTTGCCACATGAGGACCTTCACCATGCTGATGTGTTTTCAGAGGGCCACTAGTAACCATATCCATGAAAGCAGAGCATATCACCACACCTCCACCTTCTCACCAACTCCTTCTCAGCTAGCATCACCTTGAACTCCTTATTTCATCTGCAGAATGACTGGGCTGTTTTGAAATGACAGATTCCCTAAAGTACTCCTTTTCTTTTCCAGGTGTGAATCAGGATATACTGGACAGCACTGTGAAAAGACAGACTTTAGTATTCTTTATGTTGTCCCAAGTAGGCAAAAGCTTACGCATGTCCTTATTGCAGCAATAATTGGAGCTGTACAGATTGCCATTATAGTTGCGATTGTCATGTGCATAACAAGGTAGGTAAAGACGAAAACAGTGAAAAATTACACATTGTATGGATATACTTCTTCTGTATTGAAATATTTGATAGCCATAATTTTGTGTGCTTTATCCTGAAATATCCACATAAAAAATACCTAATGACTTAAGCTGTAGGGTTATGTAACATCCTATTGCCTTTGCTTTTTTGGTCACAAAACACGCATTTGTTTAAACTCACAAACCACCAGTAACTGCTCTGAATCCCCAGACCAAATACCCAGCAGAAGAGATCAGCCTTGAAACACATCCAAAAGGTCAGCCTCTGTGTTAGACCTTCACTGAACTTACTCAAGCATTGCTGGTATCTCATAGAAGCTATAATCCCTGCTCCCGCCCAGTGAAACCAGAGAGGTTGACAAGATGCTGTTCCTTATAGTACCACTGTAAATGGTGTTACACGGAGGGAGAAGTATCCCTCACACTATATATGCTTTCTGGAAATTAATGTGCACCTAGTTCTGTTATTAGGCACTCTCCATGGGAACCTATTTTATACAAGTTAAAGACACATAAGCACAGAGTTCAAGTTTCTGGGTTGTCTCAGAGTCTTGCCCTGTGTGAAAACTGAGATGAGAGCCATGGATTCCTTTTGATGACAAGGGATTCAATTTGCTTATTAAGGACTTGAACCCAATGAGGTCTGAGGGCTCTGGGATAAATTAAGGTTGACTTCAGTTACATTATAGGTGCATGAAGTATTTAAGTCATACGTTTGGGCATCAATGCTACACTTTGCCTTTTCTTCCTCAAGTTGTCCTTCATTTTTGTACCTGCAGTTACATTAGGCCATAAAACTTACTGCTACTGTGTTAGTGCATGGCTTCCCAAACTCAGTGATGTACAGTGACACCCTATGATTGAACAGCGTAGGCCTCCTTTCCTATCTCTCCTGTAAGGTTCAACCTAGCAGGTATACATACACATACCTAACAGCTCCTGCACATATATGTTATTTGGCTCATGCAGTTAATGTTCTGCCTTTTTTACTCAACACCCCACTGGCCAAAACAGTGGCGTGGAAGGCTGTGGGTCAGCAGCCCTCCTCTTTCAGCCTCCCTACGTCCGTTCCGCAGCTCAGTCTCTCAAGGACAATCTGTCTTGCTTTACTCCAGCAGGATTGCTCCATCACGCATCGCCTACTGTCATGGGCTGGTTAAGTCCCATCCCACTCAGAATTGCTGGCTTTTGTGAATCCTTTCTTAGTTGTGCGACTGTCCCCAAGAAAGGGATTGCCTGAGACACCCCACAGAGAGTCCTGGGTGGGCTCTGTCTCAGGGGCTGCCACAAGCAGCAGGGCACCTGGAGGTCCAGCACTTCAAAAGGCTGCTTGATCTAGTCTTACCATCCGCAGGATTTTAAGTGTGAAATATGTATAAGGTAAAGCCAGTGTAATTATTCACCATGGCATATGTTCCACTGGGTCAAAGCTGAAGGACGTAGCACCTTGCTGGTTTCTGCGTCAAGTTCAAGCAGAACTCCCTTCTGAGTGATCTGGGGTCCCATGGACATCCCCAGGTGACAGTCCAGTACTGAACAGCAGGAGCATCCTCTCAGTCAGCACAGCTGAGAGACTCCTTGCTATTGTTCTGTACAGAAAATTAAGTCAATGTGTTATTTCTAGGCTTAATTTAATGTGGCATATATAAAACTAGCCCTCCTTTTTCTTTCTTTCTCTATTTTTTAACAGAAAATGCCCCAAAAACAATAGAGGACGTCGGCAGAAGCAAAACCTAGGCCATTTTACTTCAGATACATCATCCAGAATGGTTTAACTTAGTGATTTTTATACCTACATTGACCATGTGATGTACATTTTTATTATATCTTTTTTTAAAGAATGGAAATATTTATTTCAGAGGCCTTATTTTTGAACATTTTTAGTGTAACAATGTTGGTCTGTATTCTGAAAGCATCAGCTCTAACAGCTATGGACTGTTTTAGTATCTTTACTTTTATGTTTTTGAATACAGTAGTTCATTTTCTGTATCTGTATCACATGGTTATATAATAGACTTGTGCTTTATCCATGGAATGTAATATTTTTGGGAACACAGATTTATTCCATCAGTGGTTGTAGATTTAAAAACAAACACACAAACAACAACAAACAATAAACCAACAAAAAAGTCCACGTTACCTAGCAAACAAGGCATGAACTAAAGGTAAAAATGTTTACAGCTTACTTTTCTTATGAGAAACTAGAAAACACTGTGTTTAAATACCGTAGATATTTAAATGTTTTTGGAAGTTAGTAACTGATTTTTTAGACACTGCCTATCGCATGAACTGTGAAGCTGTGTGCTGTGTGTAGTTGTAACATATTTATAAGACGTGTGGGCTGGGTCTAAGCACTGCCATCTTCATAATGAATTCCAACAATTTATTTTTAAAGAGGAAAACTATAAATTTCATAATTTGGGAAGTTACCTGGTAGAGCAGATGGCACAGGTCCAAAAGAAGTAGGTCTGAGTAGATTTAGGTATTGTAAAAATTGGTGTTGAATAATTGAACACGAATAATTGGAATAAAGCCTACTTTATCACTGTTAAAGCTGTTTTAATACTTCTTAAACTTTTTTAAAGCAAATACATGTTTTAACACCTACAATACTGATTGTATAGTGTTTGTGATTAAAATAAAAACAATAATAAAAGTGAATGAATTACTAGTGCTCTTGTATAGAGTATTTTCAAGAGCTAAAGAAGTCCATCCAAATTAGTCTGCTGGTCATAGTTATATTAATAGACTGTTAGTTGTCGTTTGAAAGATCCCGAGATAAAGTGTGAATAGGATGTGTTTGGCTGTTTTAACATGTAGTTTAGGCTTTCAAAATTTTGCATGTAGGATTTAATAATTTGTTCAATTAAAAAAAAAAAAAGAAAAGAAAGAAATGCTTTCAACATTTTGAACTGGAAAAGCATGTCACACAATACAACATTTTCACCATATTGTCTCTGGTTTAGTGTGTTTATTTGTTACCCCCATGTGGCAATTGCAGCAAGCTGAAGACCTAAAGTTGTTTTGCTGGGAAAAACAACGCTGTTAATTTTTCTGACCTCTCTTTGAATTCTCTTAGAGGAAAGCACTCCAGTAACACAAAAGCAGAAGTAGATCGTTAAAAATATGCAAGTTTGCTTTCCTGCTTAATTACTAAGTTACTTAACTTTCCTGGATTAACGCTAATAACTTCATCAGTACAGAAGCGTGACCCTTTAAACATATGTTCCTTTCCAGACACTGCTTCCTAATTTTAGGGGTTTCATGTTGCTGAAAGTATCTGAACAATCATGTGTGGATATTTTGTAGTCAGAAGTATTTGACCAAGCTCCAGGAGCAGCATTTCACGCCCTACTTTGAGCATCACCAGAGCCAGCTGTCACCCTGGCTCCCTGCAGCAGTGCCAGACCCGTTCTGGCAGGATCACCCAAACTTTGCCTCCCACCGACCTGGTTGAAGGCAGGCAAAATGGATCGCCGTGAAATCACCTCCGAGCCTGAGAAAACCCACCAAAATCGCCTCTCCAGCGTCACCGAGGAGGAAGAAGAACAAGATGCAGCTTACACAATTGTGACGGTCCTGGACAAAGTGGCCAACATCGTGGATAGCGTGCAGGCAAGCCAGAAGAGGATAGAAGAGAGGCACAGGGAGATGGAAAACACCATCAAGACCATACAGATTGACATCTTAAAGCTTGCCCAGGCTCATGGCAACACAGGCTACACAGTGAACAAGTTGCTGGAGAAAACCCGCAAAGTCAGCTCTGTCATGAAGGAGGTGCGGGCACGTGTGGAGCGGCAGAGCACCAACGTGCGGAAGGTGGAAGCAAAACAAGAGGAGATGCTGAAAAAAAACAAATTCCGGGTCGTAATCTATCAGGTAAAAGCAAACCTAATTTCTCGTAGCACTGTCATTGTGCCGCCTCCTTCGTGGCTGCTGTAGGCACAGATTAATGAATAAAATGACGCAGTCTGTCCAACATGAGACTTATTTTATGCTTTCTTTAACATTGAGTTGTGCTCCTCGGTGTCTTTCAGCATTAGCCCACTGACGGCAGCACACACAGTCTATTATTAGTGTTGGTAGCTTACTGAGCCAGTCGTGTAAGATTAACTGCAGATCAGCAAGGACTATTTGTTGCCTCTCCGAAAGGTAATATGAGGCAGGCTCTATAAATTTTGTCATACAAACCATGCCTGACATTCACTGGTGTTGTTTTTTCACCATATTAGGTTGAAGTCCAAATAGCAAAAGTGTTTTCGGGCTCCCTGAAACACAGACTTTCTTCTAACACTCATTTCAAAACATATGGCTTGTTTAACTTGCAGCATTGCTCAGGCTTTCATAGTGCTGACAAACTGGGGCTTTTTCATTGTCTCAGTCTATAGCAGTATATGCACAAACTAAAGCTCAGACTGACAAACCCTTCCTGACAGCAGATAGTCACTTGCATGCTCTACTTTGGAAATGGTTTAACCCAGCACATATAGGGCAAGCAAATCATACTTCTTCTTTCACTGACCTCGTTCTAGGTTGTTCCTTGTTCTTATAAATGTGTTTGAAGAGAAGTTTCATGAAACAGCATGGTCTTGCTTAGTTAACTAAGAAAATAGACAGTGCAGGCAGTTCATGGGTTCTGTCAGTTGCTAGCAAGGGCTGTAAAACCCGTTTGTTTAACGGCCGGATCCTGTATTTGCTGGAACTTCCCAGTTCCTTCGTACCACTGAGTCCCCAAAGCTTCTTTCAAATAAGTCATGTTCATCATTACGTGTTCTTGAAAATACCAGCCCAAGTGAGTAACATAATGCGCCCCCATTGCCCAGCCTTACACCCTGGTCTTCCATCTGTTTGTACATAAACAACATTGCTTGCGATGAATGGAGCTGTGTTTTTCACTGAACATAGTCACCACTGTATACAGCTGACAAATTGTACATAATCTGGCTTTCCAAACTACTTCATTTCCTACAACTGGGAAAAAATAGATGAAGAAAAAAAAGGTAGAAGCTGAAGGTGGGAAATGTTTCCTCTTTAATGTTATGCCAGTACCATATGAAGCCAAACTGTGCCTCCTGGATTTTCTGACTCATTGACTTACTGTGAATGTTGAGGAGAAAGCATGGGCATAATTTGGCCTATTATTACAATTATTGCAAGCTGTACCATCGTGATGGAATAGAAAACAGGCATTCTCACTTTTTCCTTGCAAATCATTTCCCAGCAAAAGGAAATAAATATCTCTGACTCCCCTGGTTGATAGCATAATGCCATTTCATTGACGGGCCTTTACCATAATGACTGCAGCAGAAAATAGTTGAAGCTTTGAAAATATTTGTTCTTGAAACAGTATTCGCTACATAATGTGCATTGTTCTCCTAGCAAGACATGAGTAGCTGCTTGTTGTAAAATGTAGTAAGATATGGTGAAAATGGATTTACATGGAGCTATAAAGAACAGCTGCTGGTATTTTCTGATATTTCCACAAAAGATGCATACTATCTCTAAATATCACCTTCAGTAGGAGTTTCTGAACTCTCTACTAGTTTTGCCAGACAAGAATGACCTGCACCCTGTTCTGTATGCTCAATTCTTAGGTGGTACTTTCAGGAAGAGAGACAGCATTTTTGGTTAATGTCTTTCTAGCTTCCTCTTCCTATGGTACTTGAGAACTGCCAGTGAGAATATGGATGACTTCCTCTTTAACTTCCATCCTTTTTGTAAGAGAGATTGAATAACCCTTTCCCTCTTGGACAGTGGAGGAGCCGGTATGCTGATCCCTCTAGGATCTGACATTTAACACTTTTCTGGAGTAGGATAACTGCACTGCTCCACAAAAGCACTCTGGAAGCGTGCTCTGGAACATGCTAAGGAGTCAAGAGTGCTGAAGCTTTAAGGCACAGGTATACTTGTGATAGTCTCTTGCGCACGAGTGCAGTCATTGTCACACTGTTGATTTACAGCGGCGTAGGCTGAAGTGCCAAGACCTGAATGACTGAAGCTTGGTTGCAATGAGTCTGTTAATAGCTACAGAATCAGCATACTCCCTTCACTATGTTTTACAAATGGGTATAATCAAGTTGTTTACTTGATGGTTGTGAGTGACAGCTCATCTGTAGTGACATTTTTTTCTAACGAATCGTTTGTGACATAGTGATGGAGCCAATGACCTATGTGTAGCTGGTGTTGAAAGCCTACATGGGTGAGCACACATGGGGTTTAGTTTTAACTTTTGCCAGAACATCAGCATATGAGGAAAAAGGAAACACCAATTAAATCCTAAAGATTTCCTTTCAAGTGGATAGCTTTGATCTTACCATTGATAAAAAGAGAAGGCAGGTTGAAAAGAATCATTGGCTGGAGGAGATTGTCCCAAAAGACCTCAGCAATGATGAAAAGAGTTGGCAATATCCTCACATTGAAAAGAGACAAAGTGACCATCCTTGAGCATAATGACTAGGGAAGTTGAATTCATTTTTCAAAGGCCATGTGGTCAGGGGAAAGATCTGGTAGCAGCAGCCCTCCTCCCCAGGCTGACTGCATGATTAAAACCACCAGGTTACTTCAGACTTTCTAGTGAGGTCTCAGACCCTGGAGTGCTATGTGACCTGAGACTACAGCAGGGACTGCAAAAGACATTATAAGTTGGAACAGGTCAGTGTTCACTTCTCTTCAGGTTGGTCTGAATAACCAGCTGTGAGAGTTATCATTTCTCTGCAGTCAAAGATCATCTTTTACTTATTCTGACTAAATTATTCAGAAATCAAAGGGGATTTTTCTTTCTTTTTTTTTTTTTAACCCTGAAAGAACTTGTTTTGTTTGCTTTCCTGCATTTTCTGCAAGTCCCTCTTTGAATGGGAGCATAGAGGCACCAGAAAGTCCATGTTACAGTTACTGCTCTCTTTTCTATTATTACTTTATATAAGCACCATCAACAAGTAACAACTTCCTATGAAGGGACACATGTATTTGTTTCACTCATTGTCTGACACCTAAAATTAGTGGACAGTCCCAGTGGACATGTCAGAAACCAGGTAAGGTTGTGGCTTGACTGGCTTCCATAGTCATGTTACAGTTGATTAGTTTGCCCTGTGATTGCTCCACTGCACGCACAGGGTTGAGGCTAGTAGAAGCAAACTTCCGTGTGCTGTTCATACTATGCATAAATAAATTTAAATGGAAGTGGCTTTTCCTGTTCACTGTCCTTCTGCAGCATAATGCCTTGGACATTAGAAATGGTGACGTCAAGGTGGGGACAATAATCTGTAAATCTGAAGTGGGAGCTTTTCCATCTGAAGTGTCAGTAAAAGTCAGTGTGGCACGAGCTCTAGAAATGGGGATGCTGAAAGACCAGGCTCACAGACTCACTGCCCATCTGCATGAAGTTGTAATTACAGCTATTCTGACAACAACCTGTGAGAGTAACCATGGCGTGAAAGGCAGGAAGTACACCACTTCCATTTAGAAAAACACAAAGAAAAACATTTGGGTCATTTACTCTGTTGAAGTAAGTTGTGCTCAAGCTGAACAGGGTTGGAAAGCAGCCACCAGGCTGATCAGAGAAATAGGAAGCCCTGGTAAATGAGAGGAGAGCAGATCTAGACCTGGGTTGGTTTACTCCAGGAAGACATGAGGCTGAGATGGCTTGTGGCTGGCATTTATACATACATTCAGGCATGGATGAGGAGTCCAGTAAAGAACATCAGCAGAAAAGATGAAATGGTTATAAACTACCCATGTGCCATCTCAGGTCAGAAAGCAGAAATGAATTCTTAGTCCTGGGGGCAAAGCCTTCTGCTAGAACCCATAGGGAGAGAAGAAAAACTGAATTGCTATTTAAGTCTGAAAACTTAATGGCAAAAAAGGTGGCGTAGGTTGACTACCTCAGACACAGAGGCCTTAGCAGTCCAGTGACACAGGGCCTTTGTTGGAGTCTTTGTGCCATAAATCTGATAAATATTTTTACAGCTGGGACAGGTAATTGCCTTCGCTGAGATTACAGAGAATAAAAGAAACCCAAGGGTTGTGTCAGAGAGCGTAGCAAGGGTCCTTTGTTCGCAGTGTCAAGCCCAGTCCTTCGGTTCAAAGCGCTGAGCTGGCCCCGTGCTGTGCAGTCAGCCGCTGGTGGAGTGGCAGAGCCAGTGCTGAAGTACTGGAGGCTGCCAAGAAGATCATAAATTACCGTGATTTTTAGGAAAAAAAGAAAAATCATCCACTTTGAAACAGTGAGAGAAAATCTGTGTTTCTGGTGACGTGTT